TCACTGCGAATATCTTTGGTTGTAAATGAACCCAAAAATTATTACATGGAATAAATTGCACCATTTAACGAGAATTGCTGATAATTTTTGGAATGTCTGAACATGGAAAATGCGTGGGAATTGACTTTTAAATTTCTTTCTGCTTTTTCATTTTATCTTGACTTGTGGGAAGTAAATGCTCTGGCTTGCTTGCTTGTTTATTTACACAATATTGAATATTTTTCTGTATAATTGAAGGACTTCTTCTAAAACATTATCATTGGCATTAATTCTGTAAGTTCTTTTTCGAAACAAATAAAAAAATATTTCGTGTGCTGTTCCAAAGTGCTTTCTAAATTCCTTGAATAAGTTCTAAGAATTCTTAATAAACTCAATTATTTTGATGAGTTCGCAGTGGAATCTAAATTGAGGTAGCCGACCATTTCAAGTAACTCAATAAAAAATATGTTGTAAAGGTCGCAGTTCTCGAAATGATTAATGTTTGAAATTTATGGATGCTGCATTAAAGTAATGAGAAGAGAGATTCGCGATTTGAGCATGACAGAAGGTCTAGAAGTATAAAATAAAATACATAATTTATTGAATTTGAATGAATGTCTCACAAACCCAAGTCGGTTAATCGAGTAGTAAATCCGGCATGAATCTTGCATGGTCCTTGCTTCGATTTAAATCCATCACCATACCAAAGTTACACCAGCTTGATACCGGATTTGTGTTCGATTAATCGACTTGTGCCATTCGGGAAAACAAGATGTTATCCAGTCGAATTTAAAGCCAAAATCTTATTTATTTATTAATTTCAGCTTCTAAAGCAAAAATCTTCTTGTTGACTTCTTCAACCCAGACTTTCCAAAAACAATAAGTTTCACAACGTTCCATAAAGCAATTTTCCAGCCAGTCATGTTTTTCATAAAACAAAAACTACAGCATGTCGAAGAATAATCAACTTACTGTTGTGTCAATGAATTATAAAATTTATTTGTATGTTGAAACTATTCCCCAGACACAAAATGGCCATTGGAATTGGAATTAATTTACAAAACACACAGCAAGCAAAAAAACTTTTAACGATCATTCCTCTCACCAAGGGATTAAAGAATTACTTTTCATAAGAACCATTCACAATTTTTATAAAGTGAATAAAACTATATGCAGTATGCTGAGAGCTGCTAACATATAAAGTCTTAATGTATGGCCAAATATACTTAAATCGCATGGAATATCATTCCCATTACTATTATTTACATATTAATAACCATTTAAATTTCATTTAATATTCGTGATGAAAGTTTTCTTTCACTCTTGCTGATTCCTTTCCACAAAAATTTATTTTATTTCGTTCATTGAAATTGAGGATAATGGAATGTAAACACAGAATCATAATAATAATTTCAATGTTTGTGAGCAGATGATAACAAAAAATTACAAAATTTCTCGTGCTATTGATCGAGGGACTTCAGCGCATTTTTGACGCAGCGATCAGTTTTTGATTATCTCATTATTTTGCGTTCGTTTACAGATCATTAGAAGTTTAGAAAATTATTCATTTGAGTGTAATGAGCAAATAATTATATTGAGTGCTTATATAGAAAGGCTTTATTATTTAACGGTCAATAAATAATTTGAAATATTTCCTTTAAAAGTTGCACTACAAAAACATCAATTATAGTATAATTAATAATTTGTTACAATGAATTTCCATACATTAAAAGTTTATCATTTAACGGTTTTTTGAAATTCAAATTTGACAATGGCTAGAAAAGATTTGAAATTAAAGAGGTAATGTTGAATTTTTTAAACGTACTCATCACGTGGTTTTGTTTATGAAATAAAAAAATCATTAATTATAGTATAAATACACTGTTTTAAGACTTTTAACTGTTCGATCGGACAATACACAATAGTAACGGAGCTAATAAAACAAACCTGAGCTCTCTACAATGTCTGCTTAAAAAGTTTTTCTTCAGACGTACGAGCAGCCGAACGAACGAACATTTCGCATTATTAAGCTCCCTTTTTGTATAAAAATATACAAAAATGCGCTAAAAATTCCTGAGCATGGATGCGCGATAATAAAGATATCCCAACGTATCCTTAGTGTTATTTTCTTTGCATTTAAAAACATATCTAGGTATTATAAATGATAAAGAATGCTAATAAAGATATAAAATCGATATTTTTTTGAAAATAGCCTACTATGATCAAAACAAAAAATGCTTTATTTTGGAGTTTAAAACATGGCTGCGTATTATAAATGATAAAGAATGCTAATATAATTATTAAATCGATATTTTTTTGAAAATAGCCTACTATGATCAAAACCAAAAATGCTTTATTTTGCATTTTAAAACATATCTAGGTATTATAAATGATAAAGAATGCTAATAAAGATATAAAATCGATATTTTTTTGAAAATAGCCTACTATGATCAAAACAAAAAATGCTTTATTTTGGAGTTTAAAACATGGCTGCGTATTATAAATGATAAAAAATGCTAATATAATTATAAAATCGATATTTTTTTGAAAATAGCCTACTATGATCAAAACAAAAAATGCTTTATTTTGGAGTTTAAAACATGGCTGCGTATTATAAATGATAAAGAATGCTAATATAATTATAAAATCGATATTTATTTGAAAATAGCCTACTATGATCAAAACCAAAAATGCTTTATTTTGCATTTTTAAACATAGCTGTGTATTATAAATGATAAAAAATGCTAATATAGATATAAAATCGATATTTTTTTGAAAATAGCCTACTATGATCAAAACCAAAAATGCTTTATTTTGCATTTAAAAATATAGCTGTGTATTATAAATGATAAAAAATGCTAATATAGATATAAAATCGATATTTTTTTGAAAATAGCCTACTATGATCAAAACCAAAAATGCTTTATTTTGCATTTTTAAACATAGCTGTGTATTATAAATGATAAAGAATGCTAATATAGATATAAAATCGATATTTTTTTGAAAATAGCCTACTATGATCAAAACCAAAAATGCTTTATTTTGCATTTTAAAACATAGCTGTGTATTATAAATGATAAAGAATGCTAATATACATATAAAATCGATATTTTTTTGAAAATAGTCTACTATGATCAAAACCAAAAATGCTTTATTTTGCATTTAAAAATATAGCTGTGTATTATAAATGATAAAAAATGCTAATATAGATATAAAATCGATATTTTTTTGAAAATAGCCTACTATGATCAAAACCAAAAATGCTTTATTTTGCATTTTAAAACAAAGCTGTGTATTATAAATGATAAAAAATGCTAATGTAAATATAAAATCGATATTTATTTGAAAAAAACCTACTATGATCAAAACCAAAAATTCTTTATTTTGCATTTTAAAACATAGCTGTGTATTATAAATGATAAAGAATGCTAATATAGATATAAAATCGATATTTTTTTGAAGTAGCCTACTATGATCAAAACCAAAAATGCTTTATTTTGCATTTTAAAACATAGCTGGGTATTATAAATTATTAAGAATGCTAATTTAGATATAAAATCGATATTTTTTTGAAAAAAGCCTACTATGATCAAAACCAAAAATGCTTTATTTTGCATTTTAAAACATAGCTGGGTATTATAAATTATTAAGAATGCTAATTTAGATATAAAATCGATATTTTTTTGAAAATAGCCTACTATGATCAAAACCAAAAATGCTTTATTTTGCATTTTAAAACATCTAGGTATTATAAATGATGAAGAATGCTAATTTAGATATAAAATCGATATTTTTTTGAAAATAGCCTACTATGATCAAAACCAAAAATGCTTTAAATTGCATTTTAAAACATATCTAGGTTTTATAAATGCGAACGCGAAAAAAATTTTCAAAATCCAAAAAACACGTTTTTTGGCGTTTTGAAGGCATAGATGTATCCAATTGTAAAAGTATATGTACAGAAAAATCCGGCCTCCTAATACACACATTTTGGTAACCTTTGAGATTTTTGAAAATGAGTCCTTCAGGCTGCTTAAAAAAAATTACAAAAGTTCTCGTGTTATTGATCGAGGGACTTCATCGCATTTTTGACGCAGCGATCAGTTTTTGATTATCTAATTATTTTGCATTCGTTTACAGATCATTAGAAGTTTAGAAAATCATTCATTTGAGTGTAATGAGCAAATAATTATAATGAGTGCTTATATAGAAAGGCTTTATTATTTAACGGTCAATAAATAATTTGAAATATTTCCTTTAAAAGTTGCACTACAAAAACATCAATTATAGTATAATTAATAATTTGTTGCAATGAATTTCCATACAGAAAAAGTCTATCATTCAACGGTTTTTTGAAATTGAAATTTTACAACGGCTAGAAAAAATTTGAATTTATAGAGGTAATGTTGAATTTTTTAAACGTACTCATCACGTGGTTTTGTTTATGAAATAAAAAATCATTAATCATAGTATAAATACACTATTTTAAGACTTTCGACTGTTCGATCGGACAATAAACAATAGTAACGGAGCTAATAAAACAAACCTGAGCTCTCTACGATGTCTGCTTAAAAAGTTTTTCTTGAGACGAACGAGCAGTCGAACGAACGAACATTTCGCACCCACTAATTCATTATAACACACCTCGACAGACAAAACCTCTAAATAATTATTTAAAACAGCACGAAGAATTATTGAACAAGTTTTTATATTATGTCTGCAGTTAAAAGTGCTTCTACAGCAGGATTGAAAATATCAATAAGATTTTAAATTTTTTATCAACTTATATCGAATATGAAGTTAGACTTCCTCATGAATTATAAATACTGTACAGGTGTTTATGCTTATTTATAAAGTAATGACATTTCCGAAAGGATGTAATGTACAGACAGTCGTCATGGAATACACACATAATAATAAATATTAACGATTCTTATTATGGCCACGTTTGGTCACATAAATATAGTAATCATGTGGCATTGCTTATGATGACTAAGGAGTAACAAAAAATTAGTACTTACCAGGGAACTTAAATAAAGACACTTCATTACAACTAATCTCCAGTAATTTGGTCTCATTTGGAAAGCATCGACACATTGTGTTCAGTGGACAGTTATACAAAATATCCTGATTCATATACATAACGTTGTCATTATCCAATTTCCAACAAATGGATAACTTCAGCCAATATATCATTATTAGGAGGAGAACGACGTTAATTTTGTGAAAATGTAAATTACATTTATCCATTATTGATGACACTTTTAATGTGCTTTAAAAAAATTTGTTGCTGCTGTCTCTATTTTATGCGAACCTGAATGTTTAGAAAGGGGATGAAAAATGAGAAAGAAAATTAGTAAAAAATCATGAATGAACGGTTGCTAACTAGCAACAAAGGTATGCAAATATGATGATGATGATGATAAAGGCTTCGGGTATGCAATGTACAACAAAACATTATAAATAACATGTTTCTACTCAGCATATAACATATCGCAAATTATGCACATTTTAGACCGTACATGAGAAAATCAATACCACGAGAACTATGCGCTTTATTGATTTTTCCTTTATCATCATTATAAGTTGGGAAGCTATGGCAACAAAAATACACATTTGTTTCCTCTTCTCTTTCTTTTTACCACGAAACATAATCAATCCCGAGCGGTAGAGTCAAATTTGATTAGTAGCTTGTTGCAACTTGATGACAAGTTCATGGTGAAACATTAAATTCATATTATGGATACGGTTAGTCATGCTGAGACTTAACATCTATTACTAAGGTGAGCATAGACTGTGTTTTAGTTAAATGGGTCAATAATGAACTTTTTGGAGCTTCTAGGTTTATTCTTCTGCGCCATGTTTTATTTTTGATTTTTCAATGAAAAACGTCTTTATGTTTTTGTTCGAGATATTCAACTGATTTATTGTTTTTCTCGGATTACTGAGATCATTATTTTACAGCTTCTTAGTGTTCCCGAGATATGCTACTAGATGTAGCACATCGATGTTAAAAAATAAGGAATAAAGACCACAAGGAGCTCTTTATCTAGACCCTTTACTGCAATCAATGTATCTTAATCATAAGTGCATCATTAGAATTGATATAAAGTACAGTGATAGAAGTATAAGATTGAGGTGTCATTAGAGACTTTCTGAATCTTATGTTTCAAATCATATGAGGCCAAGGGGACGTTCATAAATGACGTCACAATGGGGAAGGGATTTATAAAACTCAAAAAAAATAGAATTCCAAGAAATTTTATTGTTTGTTTTCGAAAAATAACCGTTATTTTCGGACGTCATTTATGAACAATCCTCAGCTTGAATCTGATCGATTCTTCAACAGAGCCCCCCCCCCCCGATATCTAAAATATAACATCGAATTAAGATGTGATCTCAAATCCCAAAATTCTATGCTTCATAATTGCATTTAACATAACCAAAATTCACCATAACTGCTCGGGGTTTATTTTTGTCTCACGAATCAAATCAGCTTTTTAAATCTCTCGAAAAAAAAGGGTCAGCAGAAGGAAAATCATACAAATGGAACGGATTTATAAAAGGATATGCTATCAAATGCGGCTTTAAAAGCTTTGTCATAAGATCCGTCATGTTTTTTCATCATTAGACGAAAAAGAAATAAACTTAAGTGGTCGTTGGAGATTTTTGAGAAACACAGCATGTTGTTTTTGGGAAATTTCATAAGCATGACGAAGAAGAATGGCAAAACTATGAGAAAATTGCATTTAAAACTTCAGAATAAATAATTTAAAGACTTTGAAAGTTGAACGAACTGACTCAATTCAGCAAAAAATGCTCGCAAAAGATAGCCGTATTTTATCAATACAGACGTCATTAATAATTCAATTTTATTATTCTCTCCTGAATTTGATTGCGTTTATAGAATGAATGAAAATAAACAAAAATTACTACTTTTTTAATTGACCATAATAGAATTTTCTTGTGAATGACTTCTCATTAAAATGAGTAATTGCACTCATTAATTTCTACGAGACTTAATTTGTTTATTTGATTTCTAGCCTTTATTTTCTATATTTTGAAATGATTAAGTATTGACCGAAAAAAATCTATATTTCATTTGAATGAGCAGCAAGCGCATGTAGGTGACGTAGACATGAACAGAATGTCCATATGTTCTTCTTTTTTAAACGAATCATTGACTGAAGGCAATCATTCATAAAAAACAGAATTTTTCATTTTATACACCACATGTGCACATTTTTTGACATTGCGAGCAATTTAATGTAATGCGGTATGTGGGCATTAAAATTTTACAAATCATGTCCTTCATTGTGATGTGTTTAGAGGACTGTCAGAATTTTGAGATTAGCTCAGTCAGGTTTATACGTAATGCTTTTGAAAAATTGGTTTTAAAAGGAGGGGATGTGACATGTTTGCAAATTTATGACAAAAGAGGTCAAGTGTTGCTTTTTTGGGCTATCGAGATGGATTTTCATAGGCGATACAAATTCCTCCTCCGAACATTCCACCCCTCTTTTATAAGTTTTGACATTAGAGCTTAGCCGGGGTAGAAATGTACGAGTTTAAGTAGCAATTATTCTTCCTCGACCTTTAGATATGTATCCTCAACAAACCTGATTTTAATATAAGAAGCAGCGAGCATCGTGCGAATGATTCAGAAATTAGCTTCTGTTGGGAATCAAACCAACATCTCCACAAAATACGGTTTCAAATTTCAACCTGTTTCCAAGAAGTTCAGTCAACGATGCATTATGCCGCACTTGCAGATTCGTCTACATTTGTTTTGATATTCCTGACTCAACTCTGATCAGATTTAAACACCCAAAATTCAATGTAAATTCCACATCAGCCGCAATCGTCAAAATTCTAATCCTAGCAAGTTTTGTCCAAAAGCTAGTCTTATCACATACACACTCACAATTGTGTCAAAATGAATGACATCTAATAAGAATCAAAACTCAGTCCAGCACACATTTAATGACTCTTAGATAATTGAATATGATAAATGAAAATTCCAGCAACATTGGTTTTCATTATAGAACTAATGGAAGCAAGTATCAGCATAATAAATTGGCATTTGAAAAGCTTAGATCCTAGATATAATTGTGACAAAATTTATGGCTCATGTATTGAGCAACAAGAGCAATTTTTCACCCTGACAAAAATTTTATCGGAGACAAATAATTCAAGTTATTGACCGAAAGTATTGGAAATAAGGTTATCGGACTGAACGATCTTAATAATGAAAAATTAACCTTACACATCATCAACAGACACTCTTGTCGAAGTTGGAACTTTTGTCATTATCGAAGCTTGACGTGATTTGTGAAAATTCCAAAGAATTTCTTTGTTTTTGTTTGAAAACTTTGATGACTTCATCGACTCATTGTGCTGCTGCTGCTTCCATTAAAGGAATGAAATTCCACTTAATAATAATCTCGCTGAGTAAATTAACTTCTTTTGTTCTGTTTACGCAAACAAGAAATATTTCAAATAAACAAGCAAGTAAACAACAAAAAGTGTTTAAGCATAGGAAATTTTTTAATATTTTCTCTCCAAATGCTCCATAATAATTGATATCATCATATTTGAAAGAAAATGAAAGGCATGGCAGGCAGAATGGAATGAAAATTGTTGAAGAAGAAGAATATTGAATGCCTTTGGCAGTAAAATCTTCTCAATATACACAACCATGTATATGAACTTCGCATTCACTTTCTCATATTCATTCACCCTCATGAAGTGTTTGTAAATCTATGTGCTGTTATTAAGGACACAAGGCGCAGTTTTGCAGCAGAAAAATTTATTATTTTTACACAAAGCAAATTTTAACGGATTTTCAGAATTCAAATTTTAAGTACTTAGCATCTATAGCTGATTAAGGTATCCTACACTACTATTCAAGTATATCTTAGACCTCAGGCAGCTACAGAAACTGTTAAAAGTTCCAAACTCTTGTCTCTGCCATGAAGTTAACTCCTGGTCGTATCTATCTTACATTATATTGTGCCAAACAAAACTGTATCATCAAATCACCTCCTTACCCCAGAAATTTGCTAAAAAATTATATTGTGTATGAGGAAAATTTAATCTTTATACAAATAGCATTATGTTGGATGAAAAGCTTTTACGAAAAAGAAAATAAGAAGGAAAATAATTTCAAGCTCTTATTTATGAGAACATGAAAATTTTCTGAAATAAACATAATGTGATTAGACATAACATTAAATTCCTTAGCGCTTTTTTATTCCACACACAATGCCTACCCATTTGACTCGCTTTGTCTTTATTGTTAAGGCATAAAATCAGCATTACATGACAATGAGGAACATTTTACTTTCCCATGAGCAATAAATGTTTCGTCTAAGGATGATTATCGCTGTGACAAGTTTGTGAGAAATCATTAAGGAATATATCTCATTATAGTGTGGTGACTGCTATTCTCAGTCACACAAAAGACGACCTTTTTTACTAAGGCATGAACGCTTACTAAGAAGTTGTGTGATTCATTCTTGTTGCTATAGCTTGTGACATTTGAAGAACCTTCAATTTTAATGCATTCAGTTATTTGGTTCAGATGCCTTTACACAAGTGTCATTTGGTTCAGGTGACTTCACATTACTCATATTTGTCATGTGCCTTCACACTAGTTTCATTTGGTTCAGGTGCTTCACACTAGTCACCTTTATATTTCAGATGCCTTCACACTATGATCATTTTATTCAGACTTCTTCACACTCAAGTCATGTGGTTTAAGTGCCTTCACACTAGAATAATTCGTCTTTAAAGCAAATTTATTTAAAGATTTGAACTTTAAAACATCCCATAGTGCCCACACCTAGTTCCATCCGCCCATTAAATACTCAATCATAAGACTTTAATACACACAACATTCCACTCAATTGATCGGAAATGCCTTATAGGCGCATTTTAGATTATATTAATATAATACACCCCACAGTAACTGGCAATGAAAGATGCTTTGAAGTCTCGTGATTGGAACATTATATCGACTTTAATTTCTTTTAATATGATTACGTGCCAATGCAAAGAACATTTTATTGCTTTTCATAAACATCAATGTTGGCAAATGTTTGTTTAATGTCAAGGAAATCAGGCAGTTATTAGCAGCAATTTTATGTATTGTTGTATATCTATTGATTGGTATTAATAAGTATATTAGTTCCCATGTCGATAACTAAAGTTCCATGTCAATCATGAGTTCAAGACATTTAGACTGTTGATGGTTATTTACCCAGTGGGAGGCATAAAAAAGGCAAGCATTTCCAATAAAAAATAATATACATAATCGGAATAGAGTGCAGACTAAAGTATCGTCTGATTGGTAGATTAAATGCAGTATTATGGAATGTTTGGATGGGTAGTTTGCGGCAAATTATATTGATTTTTATTGCATTTGAAAACGGAGTGGAATGTGATGGTTTTTGAGGGATATTCGTTTATTAAGGTTTCATATTTGTTAATGTAGAATTTTCGATTGAAGTTCAAAGTATTTTGATGCAGAAAATTTCGCGTCAATTGAAGTTCAGAATATTTTGATGCAAAAATTTCGAGTCAGTTGAAATTCAGAATATTGTGATGCAAAAAAATTTTGCGTCAAAGTTCAAAATATTTTGATGCTGGAAATTTCGCGTCAATTTTAAGTTCAAAATATTTGATGCAAAAATTTAGTGTCAATTTTAAGTTCAAAATATTTTATGCAAAAATTTCGAGTCAAATAAAGTTCAAATTTTTTGATTCAGAAAATTTTGCGTCAATAAAAGTTCAAAATATTTTAATTCAAAAATTTCACGTTAATTAAAGTTTTAAAATA